CCTCCCTCACCTGCCCAAGTTTGATTTCTTATAAAGGTAGTAATAAGAAAAAGTATAAACTTTCCTGCAAATTATTGTAAAACTTGATTCTCCACATCTTATGGGGCAAATAGATTTCAAACATGTTCTGTGGATATGCTTATATTTGTTTTGGTTGTCTTGATATGGCAGCAATATTTAGAAAACATAAGTTATATTTAAGGTAAATTAATAAGATTGAGAGGTAGTTGCTTCAGATAGTAAAACATGAGCAAATGTCTTTTTGAAAGAACCTCGGAGTTTGAAATGCGCAGGAGTGAACACGGACAGGCAGAGCAGAGATGCTAACTGTGGCGGGGACCCCGAGGGAATCCTGTCTCCCGTCCTCGCCTGGTGGGGCTTCTCTGCTCTGGGGTCAGGGCCTCAAGCTGGTTCCCGTGGACGCGGGCGTGTTTCCTGAGACACGGTGCGGGTTCAGCACCTTGTCTGGCTGCTAATAGCACTATCGATCCGACGGCCTCATAACATCTTTGTGAAACCTTTGTGGAGTTTCAGTTTTGCGAATAGTCTTTTGGGGGTAGGGTGACTGCAGTGATATGTTTCCCACGTCGTAAATTGGGACACAGGACAAATTATTTGAAATAAAAACGGTCCTGAGAAGTTCAAAGTGCATATGTAATGTGAGGTGAGGAAAGAAGGGGACAAAGATATTTCACAGAACTGAGGGGATTGGCAGTTGGGCTGCTTCTGGCCACTGGGAGGTGCGTGCTGGTGCTGCCGCGAAGGGCACGGTCCTGGGACGTGGTTGAGTAGTTTGGTTATTTGACACGTAAATCTCTTGGAAGCTACTGTATTACTTGGGAGATTGATTTGATTAACGTAGGTAATATTTTAATTACAGGGTGTAAGACTACCTCCCAAACTGAAACAAAATGAAGTCACTAATACCCAGCCTTCTTCTAAAAGAGCCAGGTATGGATCATAACCTAACTTTCTGCATGGTTGGCTGTCTTTCACAGGTCCGTTTTGGAAAATTGTGGCGATTAGGGAAAGTTTCTGAAAATTTTCACAATAAATAGGGTTTGAAAGCATTTACTTTTTGCTTCACAGCTCTATTGTGGTAGGTCTCATTTTATTGCTGAAGACAGTTTATAATGACATAGGCTACTATATTTGTATTTTTTATTTGAAAAATTTTGAGTCTTTTTTTTTTAAGAAACTCTGGTGAACCTCCCTTCACCTCCCCCCCACCTCCCACTATGTAAAATAGAAGTTGCTGTGGCGGAAGTGGGATGGGGAGTCTAGAACCAGCTCAGAGGCACCCCTTGGAGCCCCAGCCCCAGGGCCGTGCCGAAGAAGCCCTGCCCTGCGTGCCGAGAGTGGAGTCTTCCTAGCTGTGCTTCTCGGATCTGCCAGAGCTCGATGGGGACCCAGGAGCATCAGCCACGGTGTGAAAGAGGATCCAAGATCCCTTTGGAACGTCGTGTGCACCACACCTATGTGTCATGTTTGGCTTGGGGTGCGCAGATTTAGATGCGTATCGTGTGGTCTCATCCGGAAAAGACATGGCTGGCCAACACTAGGCAATAATGAATCCCTGCCGTGTAATTAGTAAGGCATAGCAAATGCAGGGGCACACCAAGGGAGCTTTGTTCTCCATCTTGACTCTAGAAAACTCTTATTTCCCAGCCATACCTGGTGAATGCAGCTGCTTGGCTTGTCTTTGCAGGGGCCGGTTTCCTTATCTTTCCCTTCTTCCCTTCCCTGCATACAGAGCACAAACTGAACTGTCGACTTTTGTAGTGAAATCCTAATTGTGTGATATTTTTTAAGGCTGTGATCAAATTGCCATGAATAAATTTTAAAATAAAAATTTCCCAGACTGTCTCGTTTAAATATAAGCTAAAAAATAAGATTTGAAAAAAGGAAATGTAAAAAACCAAGAGGTTTAATTTGAAATGTATGCTTGAGTAAAACAGCTTGTTTTATACCTTCTGGTAGAAGACAGAGGGCTAGAATTAAAAAGATACCGGAAGCTCTCAGGACATCCCTCTTGGCTGACTTGTATTGATTGTGAACGTGCGGACGAGGAGTGGCCCAAGTCACCAGTGTTGTTTTTAAAGCTTGATATAAAAAATGAAAAGCAGCCATTATAATTCTGTTTAAACTAGCAAAATCAGGGAAATGTAGAAACCAATGCTAATATTTGCTTTCTTTTTAAAGCCAATTTAAAAAAATTAATTGGGAGGGATTGATGAAGAAGAGAATATTGATCTTAACTGAAAGTGAATTAGGTGCTTCCCTTGGAGGTCTCAGGTGTAGTCTTTTTGAGGGGGTGACTTTGTGTAAATGGGAAAGGACAGGTAGCTCCTTTTTCCTTTAAGAATAAAAACCACACACACTTAAAGCTATAAAAGCTTGTTAAACCATTGGAATCCCTTGTTTTCTAGAGAGTATTTTTACTGTAAGTAAATAATGAAATCATTGCTACTTTGTGTCTTTTGCAGAATTGAAGACATCCCACCTCCCACCAGGAAGCTCACCCCAGAATTGACCCCCTTTGTGCTTTTCACTGGATTTGAGCCTGTCCAAGTGCAGCAGTATATCAAGGTGAAGCTTCGTTCTACTGCATATTAGGGTTTTGAGCAGTGGCCCTTTCTGTTTGTGTTCACGTTAGGCAGCAGGTCATTAAACTTCCACGTAGTCAGCAATGTCTCCTTGCAGCAGTCGTTAGTGTGCTGGTGATGACTAGTCATCGAGTGTTTGATGACCTCCTGCCCTGTTGTTGCTATCATGTCGTACTTAGATACTTGCGTTCTCATCAGTGTAGGCCAGGAACCCTTTCTGTATGAACTGCAGGGCTGCACGTGTGTCATTCTAGCCTAAAAGAGGACTGCTCCTCTTCAAGTTCTCTGATCGAAACACAGTCTACCCAGAATGAGTTTTCTTGGGTAGAGCGAGGCCAAAGGGGTTTCCATATTTGTTAGATGATGAATGGAGGCAGATTTTAAATATTTTTTATGAAATAACAGCCCAACAGCTGATGGGATTTTGTTTTGCTACTTTTTTCTGTACGGGGAGGGTGGTTAAGAGTGTAAGTTGACCTATATCATGTTGGATTCATACATTTTATTCCTTCTTTTTTTTTAAGAAAAAGAAGCAATTATAAATGCCACTATTACAAATTTAGTGCAATTTTATTTTTCTACCTTTAAAATATGAGGGTTTTTTAATAAGAGGTCATTTTTTTTAATATGTCTTAGTCAATTTTTATGCCATCATTTTTTAAAATGGAGATAGTGTGTTCGCGCACCTCACTAACACCAGTGTCAGCTTAGACAGTCCGGGCGAGTTCGCTCTTTGTGAAGTGAGCTGCATCATTCTTGCATCATTTTACCTATTCGTGGAGATGTGTTCTTGATGTCTGGAGAATGTATGTCTTCATCTTTATCTGTGTGGAAATGACTGTAGAAATGTAAGCGATAAATCTAACTTTTATTTTTCTCCTGTAGTCTCGTAGTACCTGTCGTACTGTTTTCTGGCTGAGAATTACATTCACGTGCTTTGTTTCCGTCTGTGTTGCGCCCTGTTGATGCGGCTCCATGGAAGCTCAGCCTTTTCATGTCTGACTGTGTTTGCGACCCGCAGAAGCTCTACATTCTTGGTGGGGAGGTTGCCGAGTCTGCGCAGAAGTGCACACACCTCATTGCTAGCAAGGTGACGCGCACAGTGAAGTTCCTGACGGCCATTTCTGTAGTGAAGCACATAGTAACACCGGAGTGGCTAGAAGAATGCTTCAAGTGTCAGAAATTCATTGGTGAGTAGCAGCATCAGTGTCTTTGTTTTAATGTCAGATAAACTTTGATTTTTTAAAAAATTTATCTCCATTTTTATCCCAACAAACATCTATATAAAGGATGGGGGTTTTTTTCCTTATATTAATATACCTGGATGGTTTTAGAACCTTGCTAAGTATAAAATGATTATAAATTATAAATGGTTTTTTTCTCCATAGAAGCCATAATAGCCAAGACAAATGGGCACCTTCACGGTCCTGCATAGCAGTGGTTTCACCCTTTATCTGCAGGGTTGATGTCCCCAGTTTATCGTCTAGGCCAGGCACCTTTTACCTTCCCCAGGTGTGTTCTTAGTCCTCACCTGGTCCCTTGTCTGGAGGGAGCAAGTGCAGAGGCACGCGCCCTCACGCCGAGCTTCGCCACGTTCTCAGTTTTATTTCTCACTTGTTCTTTGTGCCCTAACCACACTGGCACTAAAACTGAACTCCTTGGCTACCCTGTTGTGTCGTGATAATATTTATTACCCCCCTGATTTAAGGCATCTACGTATTTGTGTTTCTGTGCTAGTGGTTTGCCCTGTATGACCATGTTCTCACACTTTCTCACCTGTGCTCACCTTGCTCTTTGCCCCTTAAGCAGAATGGTTAGCTCCGAAGGATGAGAGCAAGGTGTGTGGCCCCGGGGCAAGCCAGGCCTGCAGGGACAGGACTCATCCCCACTAGCATCAGCTCTTCTGTCTAAACTAACCTTATTTATCCTTTAATGGGTATAAGTTGACATTAAATCAGTCTTGTTAAATTAAAATATTTTAGATCCATGCTATTTTCTTGGCCACTAGTGTTCAAACATAATTCATGTTTATGTAAATAAATAAAAGGTGTATATATTTTTAAAGTTCATGTAGTCTAATTTTGCATATGAGAAGTTAAGATTTAGAGAAATAAATATACTTAAGATTGCTGTTTATAGCAAAGCTAGAACCAAACTTAAAATTTCATGATTCTATATCTAAGGCAATAAAACATAGGAAAGAATAAATCATTAATGTAAAGAAAAAAACAAAGTCTTCAAGTACAGTGTTGAGGCAGTTGTTGTTATTCACAGCAGCATGTTCTGTACAGTTGCTGCAGATGCG